AGATCAGGACGTAGAATAGTTCACCGGGATGGAATCATGCAATTGCTTCAGTGTTCGTCTCAGCTCCATTACGTTTCGAATACAGCCCTAACTATGTTCCATGTAGACTTCATTCTCACCCTTCCCCCGATCCACTAGCTCGAGCCGTTTATGAACGGCCTCCCCTCTCCATGTGGCCGTGTTCTGTTTCCTGCCGAGCCAGAGCTGTACAGGGTCACCGCTGCCAGCCAGGGTGAATCCCTTCTCGTCCACCTCCAACGACGAGAACTGGGCATAAATCGTTGGGTAATGGCGCTGCAAGAAATGCTGAATGTTAGCCCAGTTAAGTTTGCCCTTGTGAATTTGGTGCAGGGATTTCAGGTTTTTGCCGGCATTTTCGAGGCAGTGGTTGGACTCCGAGTAGTTCCGTCCCAGGATTTGGTTCTCAACGGTGGTTTTGCTGGTCTCCTTGCTCACGACGCGGAGATTCTTGCCTCCGAGCTCTTCGGCGCGGCTCTGACCTCCGATTCGGATGATCTTGTCGATGCCGACGCCGAGAAGGTGTTTCAGAAACTGATCCAGCGCGTGGTTTGTGTAGCAACTGTATGAGACGTAACGTTAGTTCGGTTCGGAGGAGTCAGGAGACCGGGGACCCCTTACATGACTAGGATTGGGCCGAGCGTTGCCTCGTCGGCGTGGTCCAGCAAGACCCTCACCAACTGTACACCAACGTATGATTTTCCTGTGCCTGGCGGCCCCTGGATGAGGGCATACTCGCGGGTCAGGGCAGCGATCAGACTGTCAGACTGCCCTCGGTCGAGACCAGTGGCATCTTCAAGGGCCTCTGCAGTGACGTCCCCCCCAGGCACAGCAGGATTGACGGTGAGAGCAGTTTTCCCACTCCGTGTGATTGATTGAAGTCGGAACCTGAACCCGAGTCGGCGGGTGTAGGCCGGTGGCGATATCACGATAAGTGGCTCATCGTTGTTGTGCTCCGTCGACGGTAGAATCCATCGCCGGAAAGCGAGGTCTCCATCTCGCATCATCCGCTGGAGGTTCCCGAGAATGGGGACAAATGTCTCGGGGATAAGGCCGGGCAGCTCGATCAGCAACCCTTCCTGCTTCCCGACGTACATGCGGTGGAGTAAGCGCATGTTTTGTTGTGTTTCAGACGCCAACTTCACCGTGACAGCGGGATTCAGATGCTCCGAAACAAGGGTGCTCTTGTTTTTGTCATCCCGGACGTCCCAGGTCTCCTTCCTAGTGACCACGAACAACAAGAATGACTTCTGGTCACCCCGGGTTGAGATGAAGCACACCAGGCCACCGGGTTCGAGCCGAGAGGAATCCTCCCACCAGCGCCGTTGCTCCTGCAGGGTGTACTTACGCAGTTGCGGCGGTTGCGTGAACGATACGATGGCCTCAAGGTAGTCATTCACCAGCACGTGCTGAATGCTGGCCCTGGAGTAGCTGTGGGCTCTGATGTTGCCATTAATAAACCGATTTGACGCGGCAGCGTTGCCGACGTCAGGCTGTGCCAGGAGAGTGCCAATGACCTGCTTGAGCGGCCCAAAGGTGTCATGGCGCAGCAGGCGAAAGGCAGAATCGAGATGGCGCTGGACGGGATCGGCAAGAAAATGTGGCCGGGTGAAGTCGGTGCTTGGCAGATACTCGGCCATATTGCAAGTGACCTCTTCTAGAGTAGGGAATATCTCGATTTTGGTGATGTCGGGGAAGTCGTTGTCATGGTTGCCTCCTGGGACAACCACCTCCAGAGGGAAGGTTGACTCGATGGCGCCAGCAACTCTCGCCGTGCCACCATCGGCTGGTTCATGGTTTACGACGCCGCGACGCACACCATCCATCATCCTTTTAGCCATGTCAACCTTGACAGCGACGGCATCAAGGTCGCCCGTGGGTTCCACCGCATCTTGAGCAGCCACACCGCGAAGCTGAGTGGTCTTTTCGCCGAGGGCATTCAAGAGGGCCGGCAAAGCATCATTAAGGAGACACTTCCGCTCTCGCCGGAGCAGTTCGTGGAGCGACGAGGCGATAAGAGTGAGGAATCTCCGCGGCGAATGAGAAGTATTCGTCAGACGCCGGTTCAGGTCAAAGAAAAAGGCAATCCCTTGATCACCGCTGATTCCGCCGATCATTCGGTAGACGGTGCCGACATAACTATCGATCGACAGACAGAGGAGCATCGACTGGTGGGTGATGACTCTGAGGGCGGCGCGAGCAAGTCGGAGACAACTTTCATCATTCTTTGAGGTGGTGCACAATCGGATGGTTCTCTGGATAAATGCTGGTCCACCGATCTCGTCGTCGGCCAGGTCTCTAGCGACAGATTGATGGAACTCTCGGTTGGGGCTATCCATGATGCTGCCCGCGAGCTCCCATGTCTCCTCGCATTCCAGCTGGGGATTTGCACCCAGATGTGAGATGGACGAGCTGCGCTGGCGGACCTGGCGCTTGAAGTCGAAATAGTTCTCTCGGGTCTGTTTGGCTTCGCCCGGCGTGATCCCTTCAGACGCCTCTTGCTCGCGGACACGCTCAACATCTTGATCGTCGTGCGAGAACTTGCACGAGTCGCCGTACGTGCATCTCCCACGGAGAAATTGATGGCAAACACGTCGCGGTTGAGAAGACGAACCGCCCCGAGAAGAATTTCCGCGAGACCGGCCGCCGCGGTGGGTTTGCCGAGATGCTCTCCAGTTTCCACCAGAACCGCGCCAACCACCTTGATCGCGCGCCATCGTTAAAAGTGATCAACGGAAAGCAGCACGGTGCAAGATGACTGTTTGCCAAGGCAGTAACGAAGTCGTGATGGCACAGAAAAAAGTGGTGCGTAAAGTCGTGGATTGATGAACGAGGAGATCGCGGTTGGAAAGTTGGGAGAAGTAAGAGAAGAGGATAGAGAAGCACTGGCGAGAAGGAATGGGAATGTAGAAGTTGCTCAAAACTTGAACACTTGGCAAAAAGTACAAGTTTTTGGAGGGTGTGTGCGAGAGAAAGAGGCATAGGAAAGAAGTAAACTTGGTAAATTTTCGCAGGCTTCCATTCTACCGTTTGTTGTCAGGTACCTCTCAACAATTTACTTGCCACCGGGGCCTTCCCGGCTCCTCTCATGCAGACCGTAACACAAGGATGCAGCTGGGACTGGCAGGCTTCGGATTCTGTGTCCGCCTCACGTCTGCCTCCTGTCTGCCTTTGGCCGATGAAACGGCCTCTTGCTGCATGTGCCTAACACTCCACCGCCGGGGAGGGGCCAGGCTGTAGGCCCCACGCGCCGAGGACGTCACTCCGTGCTCCAGTTATTGGGGGAAGTTGAACGGAAAGGGTGCGGTGCAGAGGCCTAGATCGGGATGACAGGTTTGACCAAATCATGGCACCAAGTTGGCACAGCGAGCGTCAAGTCGTATCATTGTCACTGCACGCTTAGTACTGCCCCGCCATCGTGATCAAGTTTTATTCAACGACCCATCTCGTAAATTAGTTCAAACAAACTCGGGCTGACCGTGGCACGATGGAATTGTTGAGAAATGCACTGCCAGTCTGGCCACTCTGACCATCGCGTTCCGTTTGCAAGTGAGGTTGCAGATGTTTGCATGTGTTGGGGGGGTGGGGCTGGGGCTACGGCAGCATGCATTGAGATGCCGAACTTGGCACAGACAACCGTGGCCTTGAAGGCGGTGGATTAAACTGGGATTTAATTGACTTTCGATAGGGTTCGGGTTATATCAGGATTGCCTTCGGCGCACCGAGTCGTGTAATTACATGTAAGTCATAACGTCCCTCCTTGACTGCCCCCAGCCTGGGTCTCAATCCTATAGGGGTTGAGTCCACAACGTATTGCGCTCACCCTTAACTTTCTTTGGCTTGCTTTAAGTGCCGCCGTGGTAGCCGAAGCCTTTGTTTTGGTCGGGTGGCTCTAAGCCTCCGTGTCTGCTCTAACGGATGCTATCCGTGGCACCGCCGATATCGTGTACATGGACCCATACGAGGAGCTCATCACCGTTCAAGAACTGGGAGAGCAGACGGTGAGACGGAAACCGACCGTCCACGTCGTCACGGCTATTCATGATCCTCGGTTTGTTTGAGGTTAGCACCGTACATGTACATGGACTCTTCCGGCATCGAAACGGTAAACCATACCCGCGTTGGACGTGGCAGAACGGCGAGGCTGACAAGTCGTGTTCGTGGCAACGACGGATTCTCAGGTCCGGTTCGCATACTACAAGGTGCGTGACTGCCCTCGGGCATGTAGTTGCGATGGAATGGAGAGTGGCGTTGACAGACTCAAACTTCTCCCAAGGCAGCAAGCAAACCATGATCTTAAACTTTGTAGCTATGTAATTTGCCCACGCCTGGCACGACAAAGATTCAGACAACGATGACCCTTGCAAAGTGTAAAGTGAGCTCCTGGAAATTGCATAGCTTGCGGCTATCGGAGTGGTGACAGGGGCTCGGGCCTGGCGAGACTCAGATTCACCGAAGGAGCTGTGTGTCTCGACCATGGGCCATGGCTGAAGAAGCGAAGGGCTGCCAAGGTACCGTGGCCCTGTCCAGATTCCATTACACAGTGGTTACAACCGTGAGATATGCCAAGTGACGCCTGTCGTAGCCACGAATAGGACCAAAAGCCCAGATATCAGATGTCTCTTTGCAAACCCGAGGCGGTTAAAAAGGTCTCATCGGGCGGAGAATAATTTGTCTAAGGGGCAACCAAGTCTCCACGGTTCGGTGTATCTTTCTGTATGTTTCACATTTGTCCCCTGCCTGCCATTATACAAGGTGCTAAGATTCGATTTTATGCGGCTTATTATGGCTGAACAGAATTGACTAGCCGAATTGGATTACTGTACCCTGATGGTTACCAAATAGTTTAGTCTCACCGTGGCATCCGGACCCAGGCAGGTTGTAGCCAAGCCGTGGTCGAGCTTCGGTAGGGCTAAGGAATATATCCGCTCGCTAAGCGAGTCAATGGATTATATTGGTGTCGCCACTTCTTAGGCATTTGTGGGTATTCACTTGATCCTGTTGAAAATTGTCGACGGTTTGGGAAGAAACACCATGGGTGCGAATCTCCGCAGGCATCTTGATTCATACTCGGATCCCGTCAAGAAAACTAGGTGAATTTCGTAGTCAACGTATAAAATGGGTCAGTTCTCCCCTTCAGTGGCCAGTACTTTTGATACCGGACACACAAACAGACAGACACCAGACGCCAGACGCACCTCACTCTTCAGCCCTTCCTCCCAGTCTTGGGCCTTTCAAATCTTAACGCTACCTTCGCACCCATCCAAGCTTCGTCATCCCTTCACAGTCTGTCAACATGAAGCTCGCCGTCTCTCAAACGATCCTACTCCTTCTCGCTCCCTTGGCTCTAGCTCTCCCGACAGGAGGAGCATCCTCCACCATCACCCCAAAGGGCTATACGGCGCCGGGTAGCAACTGCAGAGAGTTCCGCGGCCAGATGATCTGCGCTCGCGATGATGCTGCTCCCGCAAATGTCGGCAAGCGTGGCTACACGGCGCCCGGCAGCAATTGCCGGGAATTTCGGGGCCAGATGATCTGCGCTCGCGATGGGGCTGCTCCTGCAGAGGCTGACAAGCGTGGCTACACGGCCCCTGGTAGCAATTGCAAGGAGTTCCGCGGACAGATGATCTGTTCTTAAGGGGATGAAAATCTGTGATCACCTCGCTTCACATTGGAGCCGTGGGCTGCCCGTTCCACTCAACTTACGACGAGATGCACGACCCCTTCATCCTGAACAACAGGAACACTGAGCTAGGGGTGGGGGTCATTGGCGAACGGACCACTATTACCATTGCCGCGGGAAAACAAAATGTATTGTCCGGAGTGGGAGAGATAAGGGGGCTTTTGACTTTGCTTTGGCTTACAGGGTGGAAATATAAGGTAAAGGTACTTAGGGGTTCTCTTATAGAAAACATACAGAACTGTTGCTTGCATGCATTGCCGCATTATGGTCGCGAGTAAGGTACCTTGCTATTACTAGCATCGAAAGACCAGATTATAGACGAAGGCGTATTGCTTTCAGAGTGCACCTATATGCTCTTGACTCTGCCCAATGTCTGCCTACATGTACTGACCACCTTGACGCGTTCCACCTCGCAGAGTCGATAGGGCACTCCTGATTCGTGCTCTGTTTTGCACACGATGGCCGTCGCCGAGCTTGGCTACCGGGAACGCCCCAGCCCTTGACTGATCACGTTATGGGTTGCCAAGTTGGGTCTGGGCCAACTCCATGTTTCAACCACTTGACAACACAAGGGCAGCAGGGTTCAAGGTTCCGAAGGATCCACGTCCTTGCCACCGCCCCCGGTTGATCTGTATCATGACTGCGCGACTGCCAACTTCTGCTCTTCCACTTTACATCAGCTCATCCCGGCTGCGGGCTGCAGCTCCATTCGACCACCATGGCATCCGACCCAATATTCTTTGAGTTGAGCTGGTCAATTCTCAGTACCATCGGGGCATGCAACGTCTTTTTCGGGCTTCTGGTCATCAGCGTCACCAACCTGTCCCCGATCGCCGCCGTTCCCCTCGTAACCTCGACCGCCTGCGCCATCGCAAATGGCCTTTGCTTCTACGCGTTTTACTTGCCAACCGTCCCGAGCATGAACCGCGCGGTCGCTTCGGCCTTTGCGGACATGGCATGGATGGTAAGCAGCCTCGGGTTTGTTTCGCCGCCTTCGGCGAGATGCAAGGCACTGTGACACATCATGAAAACGGGCAGCGTTAACTTGTCCACGATAGATCCAAGAAGCAGGAATGTCGCTGTATAGCTATGTGATATTAAGTCGCATTCTACGGGATAGGCAGTGGTACGTATACGCGGGCCTGTTCTGGACGACCATGGTGGCCATCGTCGTGGTTCGCATCAACATCGCCGTTACTCGGGTCATGTACATCAACAGCCAGAACGCGGCGCTCCAAAGGACCGTCAACTACCTTCATATGGCCTACTTCCCCTTTATAGCCATTCTCGAATCCGTCAACGCATTCTACCTTCTGAGGACTTTTACCCACGCCCAGATGTCCTGCCTCAGGAGGCAGAGCAAGGCGAGCCTGCTACGGTACCTGATGCGCAGCACCGAGGTCCGCCTGGCGCTCCTTGCCCTCGTCGGCATTATGCGCGCCGTCACCTACTGGTTTCAAGACAGGGCCCAGAGAGCGACCAACCTGGCCAGCCAAGTCGACCGCTTCTGCTACACGATGGAGTGTCTCTTTCCCATCATTATGTAGTTCGTACCCCTCTCGCCCCCCCTCGCTCCACCCCTGCCGCCCTCCAACCGCATGGCCTGCAGCTAATTCCCGACTTAGCATCGACATGTTGTCCTCCAAGATCGTCTACACCAACCAACAACAGGAACGATGCGGTGTCCCTCTGAATCTCCAACACCCACAACCCGACATCGGGGTGGAGCCGAGCGCGGCCAAGGCGACAGGGTCGTTTCCCACTACCAGCCGAGTGGAACACGTCGAGATGGAGAACGTCTCCAGCGGCAGCGGCGCAGGAAGTCCGCAGGCTCGCATCATGAGGGCCGCGCCACCGTTTGGCGAGGCAGTGTCACACTATGATTCGGAGGTGATGGATCAGAGCTGTGCTGGAATCAACAACAGGAGGTCCGAGATTGGGGTTGCGGTCAGCGAGCGGAGGGATGAATCCCCATCAATATCCGGTTGAATAGGTACTGAATGGACGGCATAGGAAAGGCGGCGTTGTCGGTTCTGGATGGATGGCGTTGTGGAATTGGGTATGCCGGCAATGTCAATTGTACTGTGGTAGATAATATGTGTGCCTTGACCTTGACGTTTGCAAAGACATCTTCGATGGGTGTCATATTCTCGGATGGGAAGTGATGTGCTCTACGAGGCAACCGAGTGGACGAGAAGATCATTAGAGGAGAGATCTTGAGATACCTAAGCGGAGAGGTGTCAACGGTCTGCGGCGACGTCAACGGGTCCCGCGACAATGCCAACGGGCCCGCGGCGACGTCTAGGAAGGAAACGAAAACCTAATATTACATAAATGAAGTACCCCTAGGGCTCGCCTAGAAAACGAATCTCCTGAATCTTGTTACCTGACTTGGCCTTGATGCTCTCAAAGACGTCTTCGATGGGTGTCACATAGACGCACCAGCCGCGGGTCTGGTTGGGACGTTGTCCTCTAAACAACAATCCCACTGCGTTTCCATGTGTGTCCCAGACAATAGACCCAGAGTCGCCCAAGCGTGCAAATGGTACATCCAGGTCCTCGCTGATGAACATGAACTCGTCGGACTCGACGGCCACTCCGGTTCCATCCATGTCCATGTATCTCGACTCTTTGGTGACACAGTCGGGTCGGAGCTTATCAAACTCGCCGATCGTGCATTTTGTCGAGGCACCGACCTTGTAAACACAATCGCACTTCTCCATCTTGTAGAGAGATCTGGGACCTGGTGGCGGTGACGCGAGCCTGCAGCGCGGTGTCGTGGGTGGCGGAGTTGGCCGCCGTCACCCACGACGCCGCAGTAAGTCGACGGTGCGGCGGTCGGCCGAGCGCGCTGCGCGCTACGGCGAACGGGTGAGAATACACTGATGCTACAGTTAGCCACTTTCTAATCTTGTCTTCGGTCAAGCAGCTGCAAGATGCGGGCGAGGCGCCAGCCCTCCCGAGCAAGGACTCCCCGATGGTACTTGCAGGGCTGCGCGGGAACCAACAGCGTCTTGGCTGCAGCACTTGTCGGCCAATAATACTAAGGTAGGTAAATATGTCCCCAGGGCTCAGGCGAGAGTGGAGAGCCTCGCCGGCTATTATCGTGCCGCGCCGCTTGCGATATCCCTCAACCCCCAAAGCCAAACGTAGACTACCTCATGTGGACGGAGGGAACCCCTTTTCCTTCTTTCTTCTCCGCGGTCGAGCGTGGACTACTTTCTTGTTTTAGCCGGGGGATTCCAGACTCAGCCTCCGGTGAGACTGGTCGTTATATTATCGCGGTTCTTATCTTCAATTCCCGCTGCAGCAGCGCAAGTCAGCCATCCTGGATCTGCAAAGATGTTTCTTCTTCAAGTCCTCCCTATTGCACTTTCTCTGCTCTTCACGCAGCCTCCCGGTGTTCTTGCCGACGACTGCCCGCCCATAACATGGACAAAGGATCGGGTCGCAAAACGGTCTCCTGCCGGCGCCACGGACATGGCCTTTGCTCCGATTGCCTCGGCCATGATACCCATTGTGGCTCGCAATGAGACCCGGGTCACCCGGCCTGTCATCCAGCCCGGCGAGATCAATTGCCGCTTCTGGCACAATACATACGAGGATCCAACCTACTACACATGCACCGAGATGGCCAACCTGTACGGCATCGCTCTCAAGGACTTCTTCTTCTTGAACCCAACCGTGCTGCCGGACTGCTCCAACCTCAAGCCAAACACGAAATATTGTGTCATCGGGTGTGAGTGTCGTACCTTATCTACTACCTGATGTATCTATCCCCTGACGACTCACGACTGACGCCAACGTACAGTTATTGAGCCCCTTCGCTCTACCGATGGCTTCTGTGGCCCACAGCACAACAATGCCACCTGCCTTGGGACCGAGGCGCAGTGCTGCAACGCAGAAACATGGACCTGCGGTAACACCGAGTAAAGAGCCGAATCACTCCAAACTATCATTATCTCTCTTCAGAGCCCAGACTGACTGCCCCCACAGAGAGGATTGCGCCAACGGCACTTGCTATGAAGGAGCCTGCTTCGGCGATGTGGAGTATAGCACCGATGGTACTTGTGGCTGGCAGCATGGCAGCAGAAAGTGTGCCGGAAAATGGGGGGATTGTTGCCACCACAACGGTACCTGCGGCACCGGCACTGCCTTTTGCGCCAAGGGGAACTGTCAATCGGGGAACTGCGATTGGGATGCCATCTTCCAGTTGACAACCACTTCGGTGGCAGCAAGCAGCAGCACCATTACTACTGACCCCAGCGCATGGCCCACCTTCCCTATTACCGACTGCGTGGGCGGCAAGGGTCCGGAAACAATAGGCGACAGCCTCTGTGATCGGACCTGCCGCCTCGGCTTCTGCCCCGCGCCTTGCACATGCACGAATCCCTCCACCCCCGAACCTCTTCCGGATACGCCTCCGGGAGTCCATTGCTGGGGCATGTTGGGGGTTCCGGCCGAGTATGACGCCTTGTGTAGCTTTATATGCGCCTACTACAGCATATACATGTACATCCTCCCCGCAAGAGTCTGCACCATTATCCCGTACACCACCACCCCGACCGAAGGGGCCGTATGCGTCCGGGGCGAGGGCGAGGGCGACTACATGGGCTTGTGCGAGTTCTCCTGCCGCCACGGCTTCTGCCCATCTGACACCTGCTCCTGTACCCTGTACGGCCACAAAGACACGTGGGCGGGGACACGGCCAGGCCAGACGGGAACCCCGGGTGTGCCGGCGCCAGGCAGGGACGAGAGCTATGCCGAGTTGTGCAGCTATGCGTGTGATCACGGGTATTGCCCTGAGGGGTTCTGTGTGATTCCCTGAAGCGTGTTGCAGGTTTTGTAGGAACCACGGCTCATAGATAAGTCGGATTAATACATCATATTTAACACTAGCTTGGTTAGGTACCTTTATGAACACCCACCGTGGTTGGGAAAGACATTATGTCTCGAGTATGGAAGTAACATGGCGAACAAATACATATCGGAACCGTAGATATGGCAGGACTCAACTACCTAGCTGCTCGTTAGCAAGGCCTGGTTCCCTACGTTACTAATGTACTAGATACATGAACCAGCCGCAATGATCGAAAGAGGCCTTCCCTACGAACTGATTTGATAATACACGCTTCAGAGCCTGTGCCAACCTCATCGCCGTAGCTCCACACTCATACTCATCAAACAGCAAACACCACACCCCCCTGCTTCTCTGTCATGAGCTGGACCGACCACCTCTCACATAGCAGGTAGCTGTACCAGGCCGCTCACTTCCAACAGCAATTTTATTCGATAACTACCCTCCCGAGATCTGACGACTTGCTCGGCCACACGTGACACATCCGCGGGTGACCCAGGCCAACAGCCTCCTCAGGGGGTGTGAACGAAGTAGAATGGACGAGCCTTTGCAGCCCCCATCGCCGGCGTCGATAGTATTATGAATTATATATTAGGGTGTAATCAGCCGGCGGCTGTCAGTCCCACCAACGCCATTATAGTTTTCACGATCACCACAACAATCATTAACAGACCCTCCACCCCAGCCCTGGCACCCTCCTAACCCTTCCATCAGGTCTTGACCAAAGCCATTCTCCCCCTTCACCTCCCCCTTCCCCTTCCCCTCCCCATTCCCCCTCCTCATTTCACCACCCCCTGATCAACCCCCCCCTCCTCCTCCTCCCCCTCGGACCGAATCATCCTTCGCGACCCCCAACACCACAAAGCGATAGGCGCTCCGAAACAAGCAATACAGCCAAAACCAAGTTCAGCCCCTGCAGCGCGGCCAGCAGCGCAAAGGTGGCGGCCTGCGCGCCGCGGCACTTGTACTCCTGGGCGGCCCAGTCCAGCGCGAGGGGGCCGACAACGGCGTACTCGGTGGCGAGAGAGTAGAGGATGGTCAGGTTCAGGTAGTGGCGCAGGTAGATCCAGGCGGCGATGCAGAGGGCGAAGGTCACCGCCTGCGCGGGGTGTTTTATGTAGTTGAGGGATTGGGAGATCTGTTCCCCGTGGGGGGGGGGGGGGGGGGGTTAGTTGGGCTGGTAGGGTATGAGTGGAAAGTAGGGGGTGACTCACGGCTAGGAAGAGGTCACTGATGTCGTGCGTGATGTAGATGGAGATGCCGATGTACATGAAGTGGAAGCGGTAGCTCAGGAAAATGAGGCTGATGGTAATGATGTGGTGCCCGATGAGCTCTCTGAAGTCCTTCCGCGGCTTCTCCTGGCCGAGGACCATCACGATGGCTTGCTGCACCCAATAGGCCGCCTGGAACAGGTAGTAGAACTTGAAGATGCCATCATGGGCTAAGTTCGGATACGTTTCGTACATTGGGCGCGTCTTGAAATACCATAGGCCGGGGGTCTGTTTCATGGTGTAAAGTCCAAGTGGCCCAGAAAAAGCAAAGTAGCAGGCCGTGTACATCTGCTCCATGAAGCGGGCCTGCTTAGCTTTGGACTTTATCCCTCCCAGACGCGCCAGCGGCCGCAGCACCTCTTGCATGATGAACTCGCGAGTGAAGGTGAGGAAGATGGTGTAGAAGCCGACGAAGGCAAAGTCCCAAGGTCCCTTTCCGTACTGGCCATCATCGAGCTTGTAGGAAAGAAAGAGAAAATGATGGACAACATTGGATTCAGTCGGGTTAAAGGCGTAAAGTCCGAGGAAGCCGAAAATGAGTCCCAGAGGTATGGCCCAGGTTCGCTGGAGGAGTCCTCGGAGGTACCCACGAGACCGCTTCCTCCTCCGCAGACGTTTATCAGGCTTTGCTAGTTGGCCGGGCCGTGTTTGGACATGGGGCATTGAAGGTAACCTTTGTGAGTTCGATTTGATGCGTTGACGAGATGGGCGGCCATTGTGTGTGGTCGTGGTGGTATCGAAAGGACTTGTCGAACTGCTGAGTAGTGAGAAGGCTTCGGTGGTGGCCATGTCGGCGGAAGTGTGCACTGATTCTTGGCCTGTATTGGTAGAGAATGGCGATTTCGGGTCCATGAGAAGAGAGTGCGACTGCGAAATAATGCAGTGACACAAACTCGTTCGTTCAATTTACTTGTAGTTTCTTGAAAACAGCGGTTGTGTGGGTCGATTCGTCATGTGGGAGAAGCGGCGGCCCGCGGGTGCCGAGATACGCGCATAGCAAGTGCCCGCCTTCCCGAAATGATAAATCCATTCCATTTGGTCAGAAACGTGAGGGCAAAGTGCGAGATGGCGGGGATAGGGGTATAGACTTCCGCGCTAATTCCGAGGCGCGAAAAGGATCTAAAATCAGCGAGTTACGAAATTGCGGACCTCATTCATCCAGTTGAGACTCGAGAGGCAGACCTCAGGGTCAACAACGACATACACAACTAACCCTAACCCCATTGTAGTTGGTTACACCAAAGATTTAGGCAGAACGTCAGTTGCATCCTGGCACCTCAAGGCATACAAAGTATCTAGGTATTCGTAGTCACTGATAGATGGATGAGAACTAGATGCAAAAGCAAAACAAACTTGATATTTTTGCTCAATATACACAGGGAAGATTACGGTATTATAGCTAGTTTGTCTATGGCTCCAAAGAGGTCGGGGTATATGGACACGGAGGTTGAGATTTTGCGCTCCCACCAGTTCCCACCAACACCACTTCTAAACAGTAAAGAAATGAAAAAGATTGACCATAGTCGATGGACAGTGATAGGAGATTGCGCATAATTAGCACACAACGCATAAATGTGAGGATGTACAAGTCATGTACTGGTCAGTAGACGAGGCATTTCGGCAGTACCTCATCTCATGGTCGTGTCATGAATCCACCCGTGTCCGTGTCCGGGCCGGTCTTTGGGAGACCGACCTACACCGATAACTCGGAACACCGCTCCAGAAACGCCGGAATCGAGCCCCCTCACGTTGCTCCCTTAGTCCCAGCCCGATGGTTTCTGCCAGTTCGACGGGCTCACAGGCGACGGGGGCGGGAAAGTATGCGAAGGCGCCGTCGGCTGTGTGGGTGTCATTGGCTTATACTTGGCCGCGAGATCGTTGAGGTTTCCATGGGCGCTAGCGGGGGGCGAAGTCATGACACTGGGGGCACCGGACGGCGGAGCGGGCCACGACAGCAGAGACGGTGAAAACACACCACTGCTAGCAATGCTGATACCGCCGAGAGAATCTTGACTAGTCCGGCGAGGCGCTACTGCTCGTGGCGGGCTCTGAGGGAAGGTAGACGACAGTGGCGAGACCTCGAACGGGCTAGTGGGACTGCCAGGGCGTCTGGGCGGGAGTGCGACGACGAGTTCGGGAGGGCCGTCGGCGCGCTCGGGGCGGGCAACCGTGGGGCCGGGGTGTGCCACGGGAGAAGGCTGCATAGTGCCGTAACCGACCGTGCCCCGGTTGTTCTCCGTCATGAGGGCATCGCCGTGGCAGCCGTCAGTAAACAGCAGACCGGCGCCCATTGATGACCGCTTCTTGTCGTTCTCTGAGTAGGGAGTGGACTTGAAGGGCGTGTACTTGGTAAGGAAAGCTTGAACGCGAGGCGTGCGTCGGTATCTGTAAAGCAGCAGAGCCAGGAGGACAAGAAGAAGAACCAGGACGGCTGCGAAGTCAGTTAGAAGACCCGCACATATTGCGATATGGGGGGTGATAGGCTTACCAACAACACCACCAATAACACCAGGGAGGGAGCTTGGGTGCGAACCGGAATCCGAGTTGTTGTTCTTGTCGCCGTTACCAACCCCGCCAAACCCTCCGTTTTCGGTGTTGCCATTGCTGTTCCCACTCCCATACGACGCCCCGGAGCCGGCGGCCAAATCCCCAAAGTCAGTGTGAGAAAAGCCGTCGCCCGTAAACGAGCCCGATCCGGTTTCTCCCGATGTCGTCGTTGAACCGGCAGGAGCCGGGTTACCATTGGCGTCATTTCCCTTTTGCGTGACAACCGGCACACCAGCACCATCTACCACAATACCGCCCTGATCGGTGGTGCCAGGCGTGGAGTGCGACCCCGTACCCTGCCCGTTGGTTGCCGGCGGCGTATTGCCCGAGCTCTGCGATCCGCCACTTCCACTTCCAGCACCACTGCTGCTGTTGCTGCCCCCTCCGGTCGTGCCACCACCGCTGCTGGTCCCCCCATTACTGTCATTTCCGGTTGTTCCTCCCGATTCGCTTCCACTACCGGAACCCGACCCGCTGTTCGTACCCGACCCGGACGAACCGGATCCGGAGCCCGTAGACCCAGAACCATTGGAGCCAGAGCCTGTAGACCCGGAGCCATTGGAGCCTGAACCGTTTGAGCCGTTAGAACCGGAACCGCTAGAGCCGGACCCCGAAGAGCCAGCGTCTGACGAGCCAGAGCCGGAAGATCCCGAGCCCGAGCCCGAGGATCCATCGTTTGACCCCGAACCCGAGTTTCCAGAGCCATTGCCCCCCGTCCCCTCCGCAGGTGGAGGTTGTTGAGTGGCCGGGGGATTAGTGGTCTCCGGCGGGTTCGTAGGCTGAGGGACCGCGGCAGGTGGGTCCTGTGCCGGCGGGGGTGTATCAGGCGCAGGTGCCGGAGCTGGCGGCGGTGGTGTCGGGTCGGGTGTCGGAGCCGGGTCCGGCTCCGACTTAGCACATCCCGGCGAGTTGGGGAGGAGCTTGCACACCGGGCTGGTGAGTGTCTCGACGAGTTCCCCCAGAAGTCTCTTTCCCCGGAGTTTCTCCCTGATCGGCCCAGGCGGTGGGAGCCGCATCTCGTTGCGTTTAGAGGTTGATATCAAAGGATGGTCAAAGTGTCATGGCAACCCAGAGATTGGAGGTCGGAACAAAGTCGATCCGCGGAAGCCACGTCTCGATATCCCGAAGTCCGAATCGTCCGGGAAACCCGACCTTGTGAGTTGAGTCAAGGAGTGACGGGTAGAGAGTTGGGTAGTTAGAAGAGTTAAGTCTAACCAACGATCGAGTGAGAGTGAGAGCGAGGCGTCCAAAGCCGAAAGAGTGAAGGCTATGGAGGCGCGTCAAGGGAATGGCGGGAGGGCTCGATGTCGAGGGGGCCGGATGCAACAAAAAGGATTGATGAAAACACATTGGCACACGCAAACTCGCAAGGTCCAGAGCGCCTTGCAGCATCACAGTGGGTCGGCACACAAGCCGAACCCGGCATGATGGGAAGGGGTTTGGCCTTGCCGCTTGTTCCTGCCATCCATGGATGTTGTGCTTGTTCCTGGCCGACCCCGCCGGGTTGTGAAATGGTTGTCACCTTGACGACTTGGCGCCGAACTGTTTCAACCCTGCCACTTTTGCTTCAGGAAACGATCGTCAGGTCTGCCCTGACGCCCTGTCCCAGTTCGGTATAGCGTTGAGTTCCTGGCACTTTCCGGCCCCCGGCAGAGGAACCAGGCGAGGCAAGTGGAGCACAAGCCGGGCAGAGCGAGCAAGGGTTGGGCCAACCGAACCAGACACGCAAAGCCGTTCCTTCTTGGGCCTTCCCCTGGGCAAGCGGCGGCAAAACCTTCGCAACGGCAATTCGCCATTCTCATATTAACGGTTTTTAACGGTGACCCTCAACCCACGCGGTGGCTAAAGTCGGTCGCATACCTATCAACGTTCTGCATCGGTGTTTAACACGCCGCAATCACACTCAGTCAACATATCTAAAACATATCCAGAAGCCCGACGGCACAATTGCCCGATTATTTGTTTTCAGTGCTGACAAGTTTGCACCCAAAATATGGCCCCACACTGTCGATCTCTGGCTCCTGCAGTTCCACCACGCTATCCCCCACGCCCATTTCCGGCTGCAGCGAGGAAAGCATTGGCACACTTGCACGCGTCTCGCGCTCGCCGGTCCCATGTCAGTACCCTTGCGGCAGGACGAGGAGAGGCAACATCTGTGATTCACAACATGGGCATGCATTGCGGCCAGGGTTGAGAGGAGTCGACAGGCGTTGGGCTGGATGCAGCATGCTGAACGGCGGTGAGGTGGAGTCCGATCGTGATGCAACTGCAACAGCAAAGGTTTGCTTTCCGGGCTCGCCAGGCTGGCCAGGCCAGCCATGCGCGCGGATCACCGCGAGGGTTGCGAAAGCTTAAAGACCACAGATCGGCATGGCTTCGTTGACGATTATGGCGACGAGTTTGACGGCCAGGTATTGTCGCCGCCGTCATCCCCATGTCTCGTCGTCCGCGTTGAGCACAGTACACTTTCATCACTTGCTCAAAACGCAATCGATCGCAATACGAACGAATTTTTTTTGAGTTCTCCTCCTTGAACTGTAGCGTTTTCCTATTTGAACTGTAATGGTCCGTGCGCCACACTGCAAAACGTCGGCTAATTAATTCTGCCGCTTGATGCCTGCCACAAGGGGTAGGGGGGCTTGAACGATCCGGATGTAGTTAGCATGCTAAGGCCACAACGGCGCAGTAAGAATACCCTCATTTAAGCATTTAGAATGGATTATTCATGTGCTGATTCTTTGATTTCAGGTTTTCTTATCAAATATATGTCATTGCGTAGTCTGCAGGACATGGAAGAGTTACCGGCTTCACTCCAACCAGAGGCTGTCTTGACAGGGTCTCCTTATGGTGCACCCGCACCACCAAGTATCCGCCAGGCCACCGTCTCTTTACTGGCCCGGCTTACGCCTCCTACAACGAGCTCTTGCTTGATCTGAACTTTTAGGGGAAGTCCTACGGTCTGGGATTTGTGAAGAGGCGAGCTTCGAACTACATCAACGGACAAGCCACGCGTTTTGATCTCTACTGCGACCGGGGACAAGCCAGACCTTCTATCGCAACCGTCCGCAAGACCACGATTTCCAAGACAGGGTGCCACTGGCGAGGCGTTGCTAAAGCCTTGAACCTCCGAATGGGAATCGGAGGACCTAGCCGAGGTAGAAGGACCTCCGGCGTCGAAGAGAGGCCGGAATAACAAATCCAAAAGCTCGGCAGTGAAGGCCGTCCCGGCAACAGCCCCAATTTCACGGCAGGAGGTGCAGCAACAGGAAGTCACGCAAGACAGCGTAGAGGACTGCATTCACGTGGCAGTCCGAGGGTCAGAATGACCTCGGCCTGGAAGCAACGGTCTTTATTTTCCTTTTCTCGCAGCAGAATTGAGAGTTTTGGGTATTTTCCTTGAATCAAGAATTCTTGGTATTCGTGCGCTCTGCTGGATGAAACTGGTGGCTGTTGGGAGCGAAGTTCCATGATTTGTGTCCCAAAGTAGGGCGGCGAATCATGCAGCTCACCGCCTTCCCGTTTTGGCTGGCGCACGGACCATTACAGTTCAAATAGGAAAACGCTACAGTTCAAGGAGGAGAACTCTTTTTTTTTAATCAGCCCCTATTTCCAGCTGGGACGTGGGGCTGAGCCAAAAATGACCGCCAATATTGACCCAGGTTCCCCAGACTGGCCAGTGCGCGTCCGGGGGGTTGTTGACCCGCGAAGTCGCGCCTCAAACCCCTGGTCATTTCAACACCGAGAGCGAAGCCGGGATGGCATCACTTGAGGCGGCAGCCACGCGACGAGTCGAGCGCGGGGTGGTCGGGCGGCCGTCAAATGGGAAACCCTTCTTTGGCCACGCCGCGAACACGTGAAGTCAGTCCGTGTGGGGATGGAGACAAAGAGGTTACCGACCGCGTGAGCCTTGACCATGCTAAAACACGGGGTGGCACAATACCAGACATGTCTTGAGCACGTGGCCTAACGCGCTACTTTGTTGAAGGAGCTTGTGTCCTCCTCTCTGAAAATGGAACGTGAGCCACGATCACAGACGGCAACCTTGGCGGAACTGTTCCTCAAAACCGTGATCCTGGCCCTCAAAGTCCTAATTCCGATGATATGGCTCCGGAGCAAGCTCTCCCCCATTCAGTTTATCATCGGAGGCACGGCGTTGGTCCTTGCTGCATTTCTCTTTGATTTCTCGCCGACCCAAGACTCTGGTTGCCCGCCGTCAATGCGCCCTAGCAATCTCCGCGACCCGGGGAGAGTGGAGAGACTAAAGGCGAAGGGGCCAGATTGAGGAGGTGTAATGGTAGCTTAAGCTCGGTCCGATAGTGCTGAAACGCCAAGTGGCTAACCACATGTAACGCTACAGGTCTCGTGAAATGATGTCTTGTGGCTTGGGAATCCGAGGTTTGAAAGGCCGCCGTTTCCGGATGCAGCGACAGTATGTTATACGCTGAGGTACCTATCAAAGAAAAAAAAGACTTTGAAGATCTCATGCGAGTCATATCTCAAGGCCGAGACGTGCTTGCAGTTTGACTAGATGTTTAAAATTGAGCGGAGCAAGGCCGTAAAAAAGCTATAAACCAACGACGAGATATGCGGGAGACTCATACGAGACAAAATTGTTGCCATTGAGCATCTTGAAGGACCTGCAGCCCCCGGCCCGGCCACCGCGGAAACGGCGTTGGCGGCAAACGATTTCAACCGACGACGAACGGTCGCAAGACGTCGATTCGGACAGCATGCCTGAACCGCAAGCCAGGATTCCCGTTACGATCAACCGAACACTCGGCAGCCGGCAGCATCACTGTTCAAGATCCGTGTCCGCGTGTCCGCGTTCTCAAGGAAAAATAGTTAGATCAATGTCAACGCCGGCCGTGAAGCATGGGTTTGATCAAAGAAAAACCCGGGCTCGCAGTAATCTCTATCGGCTAACTGAAGCTTCAGAGACGAGAACGGTCACTTTCGCTACGACGGAGCCGTCCAATCCCCCAACGACGGCCCTCCCGGCGGCGCCCAGTATGTACACTGCATTTCAGCAACTTTGGCGTTGCTCTCATACTGACTACCCCTAACCAACAACATGCCCAGCGCCACCGAGTTGTTTTGAGTCTGTTACCCTTGCCACCCCATCCGAGACGTAGGTTGAACCCAGTTCATAACACCAAATACATCGGCTTACCGAGCCCAGAGCCACATCCGCAGGTTGGTTCAAGTTACTCGCAGAAAAGGTCGACCTAGTCTTGAATAAACGGCGGCGTGCCGGTGACAGTGTGGACAAGATCGCAGTTCTCAACACCGGGCTGGGATTAACGCCACTTACGAGCGAATCGACCACTGCCTTAAACAGCATGGCTCAAAGATCATCGACTATTGGGATTGGAGCAAATCTAACCACGAGGCCGATAACCGTGTTGGATACGGGACAGCAGTTTGCGATGTGCTTGTTCGGACTGCCAAGGTGCATTTGTACGTCGGCAAGGTGACCGATAAAGCAGCATTCGATGACAAGGTGCCAGCCAGGGTCGTTCAGGTACGTGTGTGGGTGGTACCTGAATTAACATCCGTAACGTAAACCCAGTCAAGGGACTACCCCACGCATCTACCTATTCTCCCTTAACACACATTACTTTATATGTTGATGCGGTTCATATCACGGAGCAACAGCCCGAGACTCATAGGGGACCGCTAGGACGTTTTCGACTTTTAAGGTGGGATGGCCCTATCGGTAGCGGCCGTTCCCAGCAGTTTGCTCTCGTTCCTCTTGGGGACTGGAAGCTTTCTTGACCCTAACCTTTGCCTCTGTGCACGACACAACAAGTTTACCTTTCTCCGCCGGTCATAACGGTCTCATTGCTCGAGAGAATGGAGGCGCGCCCAGCACAGCCCGTGTTCCTGCCGTTCCGAGCTGCATCCAAAACCTTCTTATCTTGCGTGAGCGGGGTGCCCATCACTCTCGTTCCTTCTTCCCACAGCGTGTTTTCGTTTCCCGGACAGAAAGAGCACGGATTCATGGTTACCTTGGTAGGTCAGTCAGTAGGTAACTGCCAACAGCGAACCGCGTCTAACCTTCCTAAAATGTAAAATATCACTCTGCGCTTTCCAGGACAATACAAATGATCCGAATGCAAGGACCAGCGACTGCCTCGGGACAGGTCTTTAAAACCTGCCTCTTTTCGCGGGCCTCTCCACTTCTCTTCTCTTCCCTTCCCTCTTCATAACAGACCGAAAACTGCTTCTTCAACTTTGTTTCTGACGCTGAAGAAACATCATGGCATTCGTTGACATTTGGGTCGCGGTCTTGACGCTTATTGGGAGCATCACCTCCTCTCTTATTGCATTGCCCGTGCTAGGTGACGTTTTGCGTTGGTTCGGGCTCCGCCCACTCCCTCCCCATGACCGGGTTCCCGAGCTTCTAGTGGAAGTTCGTGATGATCAGAGTGGCCTTGTGGTTGGCCCGACGACTATCATCGGAGGCCAGCAGGGCCTTGTTGGCGGTCAGGACACCATTGGTGGGGACCTAAGGGCCCTCATCGATGCTGCTCAGTCCCTCGATAAAAACCTGATGGTCGCTGTTGAGAATCAGAAGGCTATACTCGAGGTCATTATGGCCATCACGGATGAAATCGAAAAGTTCGGGGATGACTTGAACAGCCGCTTCGACAACGTCAGGGATGTCCTTGACGCTATCGTGAGGGTGACAGAGTCATCGACCGAAGCCCTTGGGCAGATGTCGGCCCTCGTCGCGGCAGTGAGTGGCCGCCGCATGGCGCAGTCAGAACCTGCGTCAACGGCCACTCAGACCCAAGGCACTGAAGTCTTGAAGGGACGGAAAGGTAGCTACGGCGCCACCGTTCTGGCTGCTTGCGTGAACACGGCGGAAACGCAGCAGCTCCATCCGTCGATCCTTCGAGGCGGCGGATGGTGCCTCTAGGGGACCCGATATCATACATTAGACCTGCATTCTTAGAAAGGCACTAGAGGTACCCCGGCGTTGGAATTGCACCTCTGACGTGGTGCCGGGGCTCGGCAACATTCTCTTGAGCGTGTTACCGCCAAGACAATCCCGCTCAGGTATGTTGCTTTCCCTTGGCCCATTGTTGTTTTCTTTTGGACATCCTCCTCTCATTCTCCGCCTCTCACTCATCTCCGCCTTGTCCCTCACCCAGTCTTTTTCAGCTGCCCGTTTTGCCTTCTGTTCATATCCCCTATTTCTTCGCTCGATCATTTCTGCTTCTCTTTTCCATTCTCTCGCCACTCCCAAACCGCTTCCCCACTCTCATTTCGCCTCTCCATCGCTTTTCCTTCGCTGTTTTCTCTCATCGCTCCCTTTTGTTTGCAGCATCGTATTCGCGATAGGTGGGCCGGATTTCGTGTTGAGGATCTTTCCTTTCCGGTAGCCCTGCATCGACTGATATGGGCTCGGCGGTGGGTCGGCTCAGTTTAAGGGGGGGCGTTGGGTTGGAGGAGGTCAGATTCGGATGTTGAGAGGTCGGCAGTGGCAACCTTGGTCGTGGCTTGACTGTGAATACCACCTCGGCATTGTAAGGTACTTTGCGTACTCTGTATAGACCATTCAATGCCTACTTGTTAACTGAAACACATTTTTCTTTCGTATATGATTGCCTTCTGATGCCATGGTTCGTACAGATACCATGCAGCCTTGACTACGCCAGGCGGATAAGCCCCCGTGTCCCGCTTGGTCCAGCAGGAAGCCTTCGTACACCGCTGCCCAAAAGTCACCAATTTAAATTCAGTGGCCGATCGACCACTTCCCAGTTGATGATAGGAGGTGATGGTGATAAACCAAGATTTCCCGTGCTCTAGCCCGCGCTCTATTGTAGTTGTATAAGCCGTGATGCACAGACGGCATGACTCGACGACATCACGGCACAGCGCGAACGAGGCCGGGGATAGACCAGATGTATAGCGGAGGGCATTGACTACCGCAAAGGGGATGCGTGGCGACGTTACTCTGATATGCCCACAGATATGACGCGTCTCGCGATCCAAGGCTGCTCGAAGGTCCTCGTCCGTCCATCCGGCGCCGTTTAGGGTGCGCGTAGCCGATAAGAAGAGCTCGTCTTGGATGATCCGGGCTGACCACCTTTCTTCCCAGGGAGCAATCTTCCTTTTCATGGTACCGGGATATCCGGGATCGCTTCGACGTTGAATACATCCAATGGTAAGCCGTTTGGCGGGCCGAGAAAATGACGGTTCATAACCAGGCGGACGGCTTCGTAGTCAAGAACGAAACTAGTTCCGATAAGCCAGTGACAGTTATGGTAATAGCCCTCGGGGCTCCAGGGAATTCGCCGCCGATAATTTGCACTAGTGATACCACCGCAAAGGTCGGTAGTCGGGCCCTGACTACGGATAGGGTGGAGTAGAGAGCAGCCGTGACAATACCACCAATGCTGACCGAGGTCCTTTTCGAGTAGCAGCTGTAGATTTTGTGACTCCGCCGGATTCCCGCGAAGCCTTGGTGTCGCTGTTGGAAATACGAGGCCGAACAGATCTTTGCAAGTCAGCGACAAGGCCGCCGCTGCAGCAGGCGGCAGGTGTTCCCTGCAAAGGTATAGAACAACGTCGGCAGGCAACCACAGGAAGCTCGAGGTCTGCTCTAGTAACGTTGATGCCGTTAGGGGGGAGGGTGGAGGTGACGGCAGCGGGATCGACGACAGGAACGGCGAAGAGGACGGTGAAGAGGACGGCGAATAGGACGGCGAATAGGACGGTGAAGTGGACGGCGTAAGGAATAACGGAGCGGACGGAGGCGGGGACGGCCTACAAGGGGCAAAAACTGGCTCTTGGCCGTCAGTCGTCTGTAACGTCTTACTCCGTGGCTGTCGGTGGAAGTTGAAGCATAACAGCAAACCGCAAAAAGTGAGGCGTGGCATCTGTATTGATTGATTGTCGAAGGTCAAATCTTGGATGATGCGGCATGCCTTGGGTTGAAGTTGAGGTAGGTTGTGTGGCTGAAACCCCCCAGTCTGATCTCACGGAGTAAAGAATGATCATTGTTGACGTCATGACGCGCTCGGGGTCACATCAAATCCCAGAACCGCCTGACTGCACTGATACCGATGTGACTATGTCTAGGCAATGGTCGTGAGTCAGGCCAAACTGTCTGAACCGATCGGTGTGATTTAATGTGATGTAGATGTCGCCGATGTCACGAAAAGTGGTACAGGAAAGGATTCATGCAACGGCTAGGGACGTGACGATGAGGCGGTAAATGTTGGGAATGATGATTTGGATCTGCTAACACAACCACCTGCGTCGCTATCCGCTCGAGCAGATGACCAGATGTGATGTTGGTTGAAGAAGCCGGGACACAATCATGAGTTTCGTGCTAAGAACATCTTCTCTTCACTTACACAACTTCATTTTGTTGGAATCAATCTCGACTCCACAAACCCATCATCTCAGATACTCACCTTCATCCCCCTAATAAACCATACCTACTGCCTATCCCAGGACTGCCACACGTCCAGCTTGTACCTACCCCTCTCTCTTCTCAACCCTGACCCAGAAATCCCGAATCATCCAGACCCCGTTGTTGCGTATCTTGGGCGGATTCAACGGGTTGGCCAGAGACCAGTTATACCGTCTCAGCAACTGTCCCCTATCAGTCAGCCATCCATCCACACACCAAATAGATAGCACACGCGTTGAAAAACAAAGCAAGAACAAACTCACCTCCCCCAACACCTTCCCCAACTCCACCATCGCCACCCCCCTCCCCACACAAACAAACTGCCCACTCCCAAACGCCAACTCCACCCTCCGATTCATCTGCGCCAACCTCTCCGAACCGCCGCCGCCGGGCAACCCGCCCTTCTCCCGGGCCCTCCACACCCACACCCACACCCCCCCAACAACCCGACCTCCAACCACCGCTCCGGCCGAAACACGTCGGCATCCGCGCCCCAAAACGCCCGCTCTCGGTTCCCGTGCCACATCTGGTTGCCCGTCGCCACCCACGTGCCCCCCGGCAGCGCCCGCCCGCACACCACGTCGCCGCCGCGCGGCACCTCCTTGTAGATGGGCGGGGCGCAGAGCGGCGGGAAGAGGCGCAGCCCCTCGCGGATCACGGCTTGCAGGTAGGGGAGGGTGCGGGCTTGGGCGTCGCGGATGATTTGGGGGGTGGTTTGGTTGGTGGTGGTGGTGGTGAGGTGGGCGGCGTCGAGCTCGGCTTGGAGGCGTGCGTAGACGGTGGGGTGCGTTAGGAGGAGGTAGAAGGTGGTGTAGAGCGCGGAGGAGACCGTGTCGGAGCCGGCGAAGCTGTTGAGGGGGGTGTTAGGGTTGGTTTGGCTGATATTTGGGAGGGGATGGTGGGGGAGAGTGAAGGGGGGAAATCGGAGGAGACATATGGAAAAGAGGGGGGAAAGATGGGGAACGTACAATTGAATGCCGATTTCCTGCTTGAGAGCATCGCCTCGCAAGCCGTGATCGATAAAGGATTGCAGCATGTCATGCTTGGGGCCGACGTTGGGTTGGAGGCGTTTCTTGAGAATGATGCTCACATGACTAGAATCAGGATAACAATGGTGAGCTTTTCCCGCAGGCGCCGCCGTTATGGGGATCGGTGACATACCCAATAATGGCGCCAAAGCCGCTCTCATCTCCATCGTTGGGCAACAGGTAGTAGAACGGCCATGCACGGAGTGTTTTCCAGAACCATACGTAGTTGCCCAAAGACATGAGGAGAGGGACCGTAGCATCGTTGACGGCGAGGATACCCCTCACGTCCCGGTCTTCCTCGAGATACTTAAAAGATTCGCTGTAGGCAATCTCACCAATTGCGTCGAGTGCGTAATAGTGTAACTTGTCTTCCAAGTTCATGTGCGTGACCCTGTGGGCGGCTGAAAGATACTTTCTGTCGATGAGATCCATGAAGGCTGTAAGAGCCCTATCGGTGCCCTCTTCAAAGTGGTCAACTCCCCGACCGGCGTACTAGCAGCCAGAAAATGTCAGGAGAATCCAGGAAGGGTTGGTGGGAGAGGTAACAATACCGCTGGCATGATATAATTCTTGCGCTCCTTGCGCTCTTCGGGGTCAATCAAGGTAAAGATGTGGTCACCGCTCCGAGAAATGCGAGCGATGGTATACCAATCCGACTTTCTGTAGTCAGATCGGACTCCCATCATTTGGTACATGATGTCTACATCGGTGCAGACGACTTTGTCCGGGGCAATCCGAACCAGGGGTCCTACAAGACAAAGTTGTATTAGTGCACATGTGGGAACGGAAGTTTGGGGCGTTACCCTGGGTGGCTATCACTCACCATACTTCTCCACGAGGGCCGGCACGTCCAGAAAGAAGGTCTCGTTGAGGTACTGCTTGGTCAACCACAGTGACGTCCACCCAGCCAGAGGCGGACCGGGGACATGGCGGAGCCGGTACCATTGCCGGACCCTTCGGATGATATGGGCGAGGAAGAGGAGGCCCAGGATGTACAATACAAGCCGAGAAGAGGGCTTGGCAATGGGGCTTTCTGAAAGACTGACACGAAGGCCCATGGTGGCGATTACGGGGCTCAACTCTCAAAGTCACAGATGAGAAACACAGCTACACCTGGGCTTGGAAGGCAATGGCGAGCATCGACAGGTTTAAATATTCCGTCTGGTCACCTGGAGGCCGCTGCCCAAGGGAGACTTAGCGCTGGAGAGACAACGGGTTGGTCCATGTCCCGAGGGTTCGGTAGGCACCCAAGCAAGGCCCGGAATAGACGAGCGGTAAAAGGTTCCATGTGACGAGATAAGGTCAGCCCAAGAACAATTCGAGTCGCTAACGGGCATGGGTTGAAGAAGGAAAGCCCGATGTGCGGCATATTTCCGAAACTATACTCCAGTCAATGCCGACTGGTGAACTAACCTAACTCAAGGGAGAGAAAGCGTGACGCAGGTAGGCTCACGGGGAGGGCTTCTATCAATCCGGCGGCGATACCTTCACTTTGATCCTTTTTTTCACACCGTGATTTTGTCCCGTAACCCGCCGGACCGGCTGTGTTGGCCTTTGGCGGTTCGGCAACGGACCAGTGGGGACCCCGAGTGGCGGCGCTTCGGTTGGCCGAGTCTGAGACCAGGTCAATCATGCCCGTTGAGGCGGCAAATCAGCTGGCGCCATCGAAGCAAACAGCAGGACATCCTTGGCATGCTCTTGCCTGCTGCACAGTGGTGAGTTGCAGACGAGCCGCTGTTGGTCTGGAAATTACGCCACCATCACAGCCGCTGGTCGGGCAGGAGCCGGCGATCATGAGATGACGCAGAGCCTCATATCAGTGGTCAGTGGCGAGTTGGCAATACGAAGCTCCCTTGCATCACAGTGACGCCGACCGACATGCCCCGGATCCGGGTGCCAGACTGTATCATTAACAGTATGTTGGAGACTCGGGTAGCCGAATACTCGGCCCGCGTCACATCAAAACGACTCCTCCAACCAAAGCTACCCCCGCAAACACGGCGTGAATCCGTCCTGTCGCCCTCGCCCCGCCGCCATTCCAAGATGTGGTGGCGGTGGTGGTGGTTGGAAGCTTTTCAAAGCCTGCCGTGATGGTCGCGGGGATGCTATGTGCCGCAACATCCGTAAAAGAGGTCACTACAGTCCGGGTTTCGATCCGGGTCAAAGGACCCCAGGTGTCGTTTCCCACGGCAGTCTGAAACCAAAAGCTGCTTGTTGTATTGCCTGCGCAGGAGGCTGAGGTTGAACCCTGTATCGCACAAGTTACTTGCCCTCGTCTGTTGCATCGAAACACGACGTAAGCCACATAGCCTCGTGCAGGAGGGGTAGTGTTGGAACATAACCTGGGAGGGATCCTTACACGGAGATATTTGTGGTTTCGGTTGTCGTCACCGTCGTCCCATGAATGGTAGTACGTCCTATGCGCCCGACCAGCGAGACTCGACGTATATCCAACATCATCTCGGTGGGGTTGATGGTCACACTCACCCCTGCAAGAAAGTTACATGGGGGTGGTTGGGATTCGTCATATTCTATCCAGGTGTGATCGTAACACACGACCCAATACTCGGTTTGTGACCGACTGATGTCGACACGCATGACAGAGACATGGATTGTAGGATCAGGATCCCATCCAGTTGGATCGAGAGCAAAGATGCTGAAGATGCTGGGTGTTGCTACCGCTGGTAAAATGCTGACTGCAGAGGGCGTTGTTGCTGTCGGTAAGATACTGGCTATACAAGGTGTTGCTTCTATCGGTACCTCAATATCCCGGCCTGGGATTGGAATAATGAGGTTAAGTAGGTTTAGAAAAAAGCGGGTAATGTAGCTCATGGTTTCTAGACGACAGGGTTTCGGTTTTCGAGATGGGCGCTGTGAGTAGGATGATGGACGAATGGAGGGTTTTGACCACCACTACACAGCAGGCACATTAGCCAACCTTGGGTTGTGCCGATGAATTGAGGCTTCTGCTAGGAGAAAACTTTATGTGATGAGCTGGAAGGAGGTTCCTGTGTTGCTCAAGACCACTCGAATATCGCGGCACAGCCACGCTCTCAGATTACCCCTCTTCTCTGAGCAACGCCCGACTCACCCCTTCGCTCATTTATGAGAGAGCAACGACGAATAGCTAGTGAGCATTTGCGCTTGGCAATGGCCCAAGGCCGAATCATGTTTACTTGGCGCCTGGCTGCGTGAGACTGGATTTGGCCCCCAAGCAAGCAAGCGAAGCAACCCATATGTACGGTGTACCTGCACTACCCCAGGCTTAAACAGGAACGGCTTCCATTGTAACCAGAGCATCATATGGCAAAGCAGTTATGCCGGGACACGGACACACACTTCGGCCTCGACGGCGAACCCGGCGGAACGCGAGGCGGTGGTTCGCGCGGTTGTGGACTCGCCGGGACAGGACGAGTTGTCCTTGGGCTGTGCGCAAAGGTGAGACATGGCAAAAGGTGGAGGACCCCTCCTTGGCGGTGACGGGACGACGACTGGTGTGGTTGAAGATGGTCTACTGATTCGCCGGTGAAGCGGCGCGGAGATCGGGTCGAGTCAACTCGAGATGGCGCCTTCGCCGGAAATCTGGTTGAAGTGCTCGGGCCTGGTTGTTTTTCTGGCGACTCCATGGGCTCGAGTTTCTTGGCGATGTCAACAAAAATCCAAAAACATGTGATTTGGTGGCCCTGCGTGCGGCACAGAAACAATATTTCCTCGATATTTCCTCGATTGGTTCTGGCCCTTGTGGGGCACGTGGTGGGGTTCAAAATCGGAATGTGGCCCGCTTGGAACGCCAATCCGGATCGGAAGGGAAGGTTCTTCCCCGTCCTCGACTGACAGGAACAACCCGGGAAAATCATTCTCAGAAACAGGCATAGCCCGACATGAAACGCCCAAGCTGCGGACAATCACCGCCGCTAATCGTCCAAGAAAAGAAGGCAAATAACTAAGGAAACTAACGCGAGTGCCGGGCGGCCCGGACCCTCATCGCAATGTGTTTATTGTGTAGGCGGCTGGTCTCTCTGAAGTCGATTCTCCTGTGTTCGATCGACTGTCAAGGGATGGGTGGAAACCGGGCAGGTGGGGCGGGATGTGTCTCTCGCTCGTGCCTTGCCCAAACTTCGAAGCACCTTCCATGTCTCCTTTCCCAGGACAATCGGTTTCTGGAATTACGCAAATGCGGCCGAAGCTCACGTGTCGCAAGCCTTCCCCATTCTCGCTGTCGCTTGCAGCTCGACTTGACCGGCGCCAAGCGGAGCGCCGAGCAAAGGGGCGCATGCCCGAGGCAGGTCCTAAATTTTCCTCGCCCTCTCAAACAGAGGAAGCGATGTCACAGCGCAAGAGCAGGCTCTGCTAGTGTATGTACACTCACCTAAAACTGTGTTTACCCGCCCCACCGAGGCTGTTCGTTTGTCTCAGACACACGGGATGGGTCGGTGTGCTCTTCGGCAATTACCGATGACAGCTGCCATGCCTGCTCGGTTTCGCAAGCGGGATGCGTGGCGGTCCCTGGGATGCTATCTGCCACGAGCACGAGGTAAATTGTTTTGCAGGAACCAGTCCGACGGGGCAAAAGAAGAAAAGAACACACGAGAAAGGGAGAAACACGGTTGGTGGTGGGGCATCTTTGTCGGCTCGCAAAGCCGATTCATTCGGTTAGGAGTCACTGAGGACACTCGGGGGATCCTTTCGGGCCTGGACAATGCAACCTCATGCGGGTCTTCGGCGAGGCAATCATGCAGCCGGGGGTATCACTTCCAAGCTCCCGGCATGAACGGCTCGAAAGGTGGGCTGCAGTCGAGAATCTGGTCTCGAGCTTGCGCGATCCTTTAGGCGGGCACTGAAGCGCTGGAATGGGCAGGTAAGAACGCAGCGATCAGACAGACACAGAGCTTCCAAGAACGCAAGGACGCTGCGCTGCGACATGGCTGTTATGCAGTACGACGCCGGTACCAAAAACTGCGAGCCTAGATTGGTGGTGGACTCTGCGGGATCTGGATGCAGTCGATATTCTGGGGTTGACCCCTGAAAACACGCGTTTTCGGCTCGGTGCAAGATCTGGCGACAAGGAAAGCTTGATAAAAAGAAGCAACACCCCTCTGGGTTGCCATGGAATGGGGCCCCTTTTCCCTGTTCTGCAAATCGTCAAATCGACTCTTTACCCAACCTCGAATTGTCCGCGGAACCCAAGTTGGGACCTCCCATGAGGGACCCCGACTCAACGATCGTCGATCGAACCCACCACCCCAGGGCCGCCCTCCGCTGACTGGCGGATTGGCGGGAGATCTGCAACCAAGATGTCCATGACAGGGCCTCCCGGCGGTCCGAAGACCGATATCGACCCCGTCCGGGCCGCCGAGAGCAACACGGGGATGATTTTGGGAGTCTTGACGGTGTTCCATGTCATCGCCCTCACCTTCGTGGCCCTCAGGGTCTACGCCAGAGCCGTGGTCATCAAAACCTTTGGCAAGGATGATATTTGCATGGTGTTATCTGCTGTACGTTGCCGACCTGGCGCCAAGGCTTTGGAGATGGCCGCGTGCTGACCACGGCGCAACAGTTATGTGCCATAGGAGGATGGAGCGTGTTTATCATACAAGCCTACCATGGCCTGGGAAAACATCAAGAAACCATCTTGCACGAGGACATGATAATCTTTCAGCATGCTGGCTTCTGGCAGTCCATCATCTCGGCCACCTGGGCACTCGGGTTTCTAAAAGTATCTATCGGCTTCAACCTGCTGAGGCTTAGCTCCGGCGGATGGTATCGCTGGAGTCTCTGGGCGACAATCGGTATTTACCCTTCGGTCCTCGAGATTCAACGCCGAGAGTTGGACGACTGACTGGGGCTCTAGTGATTGTCTGCTGCTACACGTTCATGGGCATGATGACCTTTTTACTCTACTGCCAACCAATGGAGGGGTACTGGAATCCCGCCGTCAAGCCCAAATGCTACCCCATCCCGTTGTTCGTCACCTTCGCGCTGGTCAACACGGGGTTCAACATCTTTACCGACGTGCTCTTCGCCACTTTCCCGATCCCAATTATCTGGACGCTGAAGATGAAGCGGAAGCTGAAGGTCTACTTGATCGCCATCTTGAGCTTGGGATATTTGTAGGTTCATGCCTGCGTGCGCTCCGTCTCTACCCGCCTCTCGCCCAACTAACCCGTCTCTAGTGCTGTGGCGATGGGTATCGTCAAGTCCGTCTACCAGATCGCTTTCGCTAGAATGCCCGATAAGACGTTCAACCAAAGCATCCAGTTCTGGGGATTGTAAGTCACGCGTTGCCTGTCTCATCTGCTTCCATCCACATCAACCCAAGACTAACCACCACCCCTCCGCCAGTCTCCAACTCCAACTCGGCATAATCGCCGCGTGCGCAACCTCGCTCAAACCCCTCTTCAGCCGCATCCTCAAACTCAACACCACCGACCGCTACTACAACACCCCCGGCGGGCGGTACGGCTACGGCTCACACTCACGAGGCAACCGAATGACGGGCCGAGGTTACGGCGCGGGCACGGGCACGGGGGGCAACACGGGGACGGGCACGGGGACGGGCAAGCAGGCGTCCGCGCACGAGTACGAACTGGAGACGGCGCGCGGGTCGGCCGACGACGGGAACCTGTCCAACGGCAAGGGCGAGACGTACAGCACGGCGACGAGCTTCTACAAGCACGGCTCGGCCGAGGGCTCGGGCAGCGAGGAGATGATTTTGGGGGCCGCGCCCGGGACGCTGCGCCTCACGCCACCGCCGCATGCCGTCATTAGCCCCGAGGCCGCGGCGAGGGGGATTGTCAGGACCACCGAGGTGCGCGTTTCGGTTAAGTAAATGTTCTAGCTACCTTATTAGTTCGGTGCGGGTTGCGAATGCCAATATTGAGTTCAACAACTTGTTCGTCGCCAAAATGATTAAGTGTTATGTTGGTGTTGTGGTGATGGTCCGGGTTATTCCCTGATGGGGACCAGTGGGACCGTTCCATCAGTGCCCGGGGCTCCGCTCGCAAATCCCCCGCGATGTCCCGGCGGCTTGGCGTCAATCTTCTGAGATGCTGGAGAAGGGTTCCCAGTCCGCGGACCAGCTCTTCGTGTTCCACGAGTGGATGCGAACAATGGCTTAGCAATTGATGATATCGAACCATGACAATTCAAGCCGCGGGGGGTCGCTTGCCCGAATCCGCTCCGATGGTGTGGATGTCATGTTTTCTTTCTGTGTTCTGCATCACAAGCGTCGACACTAATGCAACACTGGCCGGGGTTTTATTGCACAGTTGCAACTTCACGCACCTGCCCGGCGCAGGCGAATTCTCTTTTCCGGGACGCGAAGCCCAAACGAGCCAGAACAGCCGGAAAGTCCAACAAGGCCACAGGAAAACGGGGTCGAAACATCACAAACCAAACCCCCGCCGACCCCGAGAGTGCATGAATCGAAGAGAACCACCGAGACCGAGCCTCTCCTGGAAGGGACAATCTGGAATGGAACACCGGGCCACGATCCCAAGTGGGGTGAAATCCCGCCTTCCATTCCAACAGTCCTCGGCTGGCGGCACACAGCGGGTCCTAAAGTGGCTCTCCAGGGCAGGGACAACACAACCCTGGGCTGCCCAGTCTCAGGGAAGAGCATCTGAAGAAGGGCAATTGTGGTTGGCTTCGGGCCCTGGCCGGGTTCATGGGGGTTCGTGGGCCCTTTCCCCTTGCCATTGAGATACCAGGTATCATCAGCCAGCAATGGAAGCCCATTGCAACCAACAACCCGCGGTAACTCCACGGACAAGAGGGGCTAGAATCAATAGCCAAGTCGCAGCGCAATGCAAATGAGGCTCGGCAACCGAGACCATACCATTTGAGCGCTTCGGCAGATGCTATCCGCCAGGGGCAAGACATTGCGGTTGCACGAGTTGGGTTGGTTACTTCCCGCTTGTTCCATCCAGGAATTAGTTAGGTTCAGTTAGTCCGTCCAGTCGGCTGCTCTCGGATGTTCGGGGGCTTTTCCACGTGGTGGCGCGGTGAATAAGACTGCGACCATGCCGCCTCCGTCCCAGGAAATGAACTTCATGAATACCTCACCTTTCATTCACGGTCGCTCCTCTTAATCAGACCCCAGCAGTCGGTTGACTGCGTCCGTTCTTTTTCATTCGAGGTTGTCCCCACGTTCCCGACTCGGACGACTTTAACACAAACTATGGTTCTCACTCTCAGACTCGCAAGTGGTCTGCTTGCCGCTGCCACCGCCGTCTCGGCCACCTCCTGGCTCCCGGATATTGTCACTAGGGACGTTGCCATCATCGGCGGTGGCGCCAGCGGTGCTTATGCTGCCATCCGGTTGAAGGAGGACTTCAAGAAGAGCATCGTGCTTGTTGAGAAGGCCGGCCGCTTGGTAATTATGCAACATCCGCAACGTAGTGTGAGGCATATCCACTGACATCACCCCAGGGCGGCCATGTCTCAACCTACGACGACCCCAAGACGGGGACGCCGTTTGACTTTGGCGTGCAAAGCTTCAATGACTACGGCCCGGCCAGGGCCTTTTTCGAGCGCATGGGCGTGGCTGTCGGCGCCGCCCCCCGCGTTGCCTTGACCTCCAAGTACGCCGACTTCAGCTCGGGCGCTGCCGTCGACTTCACCCCTCCCAGCAACGAGGACCGCGTTGCCGCCCTGGGCCGCTTCCTCAATGCCACCGCCGCCTACGAGGAGTACTTCTTGCCGGGCTACTGGAATTTCCCGGCCCCGGGCAAGATCCCCGAGGACCTGCTCCTGCCCTTCGGAAAGTTCGTCGAGAAGTACCAGCTCCACGCCGCCGTCAACCAGGTCTTCCAGATCACCGGCATGGGAACCGGCGACATGATGAACGCCCTGACCCTCTACGTGCTCGGCGCCTTCGGCCAGCCCATGATCCGCGCTTTCCTCGGCCAGGGCGCCACCTTTACCCCCACCAGCCGCCGCAACATCGCTCTCTACGAAGCCATCCAATCCCGCCTCGGCAACGACGTCCTCCTCAATACCGAGGTCCAACAATCCCTCCGCACCTCGCTCGGCCCACACCCTCTGGACCAAGTCCGCCTCCGGCAAAGTCACCATCATCCTCGCGCGCCGCCTACTCATGGCCATCGAACCGACGCCTTCCAACATGGCGCCCTTCGGCCTGGACCTGGTCGAGCAATCGACCTTCTCCAAATTCCGCTACTCGTCCATCCACGCGGGCGTCGTGTCGCACCCCTCCCTGCCCCGCAACGTCTCCCTCGTCAACACCCCCCGCGCCGCCAGCCCGGCCAACTACGTCGCCCTGCCCAAGCCCAACTTCAACGTGCGCTTCGACTACCTCGGCGGCAACTCGGACCTGTTCCGCGTCCTCATGGTCGGCGACGAGCAGTTCGACAAGGCCAAGGCCCAGGCCCAGGTCCGTCAGGACTTTGCCCGCCTGATGAAGCAGGGCACTGTGCAGCCCAAGACGGCGGATCCGGGGGGCGAGTTGGAGTTCCGCGCGTGGGCCGACCATGGCGCCATGCATATGAATGTGCCCGCCAAGGAGCTCAAGAGCGGGTTTATTCAGAAGCTGTACGCCCTGCAGGGTAGGAGGGATACCTGGTGGACGGGGGGCGCGTTCAGTGTCCAGTTTCAGGCCATTTTGTGGGCGTTTGATGATATTCTGCTGCCGAAGATGTTTGAGAAGGGGGGGTGGTAAGGTGTTGAAGGGGGTGTTGGGTACGTGGTTAATTGGGTAGTATGGTGTGGTGGTGTACAGTTGTAGCTATGTGTGTGTGTATATACTTGTCATATTATCTGTCAATGCAAAACATACTGTGGTGCCACTTTCTGGCTACAACGCCTGGGTTGTGTTCCGTCCTTCTTCTTTCCCCTGTCTCCACCGATAACGACATCATGGCCCAGGCTGTTCGGTAACCTTAGCCTTTGCGCGAGGAACTCGGTGTACTGGGCGTCCTTACTCTACTTGTCTTGATCGGCCATGAGTTTAGAGAGTCACTTGCTTTGGTGACGGGGAATCTGTGCTTCATCAGCTTGAGCCGCCCTGAGAAGGGAGGCGGTAAAAGGTAGCCATTCCCGCACAATGGCCACCAGGTTTGGAGTTTCCCTCTTGAAGCGGTAAGGAAGGGTACACTGACTCAAAAATGCCGTCTATTGCTGTGTAAGGGGTAAGTTGGATATCTGGTTCGGCGCTAACTAGGTTCACTTCCGCAGCCCTCGTCCCTCGCCCTAAGTGGTGCCGAGCCCAGGGATTACAGGGCCGAGTCCTG